GGAAATGAGAAGAGTTTGTGAAAAACTTCATGGCTTCGAAGATCAATGCAATCTAGTTTTGGATAATATGCAAAGCCAATTAATGGAACTAGAAGAGAATAATAAATTATTTATGATGGAACCAAGATCCAGAACCAAACGTGCTCCCTTAGAGTTTATAGGTTCGTTGTATCATATTTTATTTGGTATAATGGATGAAGATGACAGGGAACAGTTAGAGGAAGATATGAAAAACTTATTAGATAATCAGAGGAACATGGATAAATTGGTTCAAAAGCAAACGTCAGTTGTTGACTCAACTACTAATTTATTAAAAAGAACAACCGAGGATGTTAACGCTAATTTTAAAAGTATGCAAGTAAGAATTGAAAACATGACAGAAGTTCTTAAAGAGAGTTACTATGTTTACAAAGAATCGATAAAATTCTTTATGATAACTAAACAGCTTCACTCCTTGATTGAAGAAGGTGAAAAAGTTCAATCAGGGATTATAAGCCTTTTAATTGATATTAATCACGGCAGACTAAACACAAACATACTTAGGCCAAATCAGCTAAAAATTGAGATTGCCAAGATTCAGGAAAATTTGTCGGAAAATCTAATAATGCCAGGGAAAAGATCAGGAACGGAACTCAAGGAGGTATATACCTTATTAACAGCGAGAGGATTGTTTATAGAGAATAAATTAATCATCACTGCAAAAGTGCCTTTGTTCAGTAGGCATCCGTCTAAATTGTTTAGACTAATTCCGTTGCCTATTAGGAATGTAGATAAAATAATAATGGTACACATAACTTCCGAATTTTTAATTTATAATTTTGAAATCGATTCTTATCACATAATGAGCGAAGCAACTTTAAATCAATGCCAAAAATGGCAACAAAATAAAAGGATATGCCAAGGAAGTTGGCCCTGGAACTCCGCGAATGACAACGCATGTGAAGTTCAGCCGTTAAAACCAAATAGAGCTTCGAATTGTGTATACAAAACAGTAGTGGATGCCACAAGTTACTGGGTAGAGTTGGAAAAGAAAAGTAGTTGGTTGTTTAAGGTTCCGATAGGTACTAAAATAAGAGTAAAATGTTCTGGGTCTCAAATGGAGTTGTCTGAACTGCCTGAGCAAGGGATTTTAAGTATTGCACCGTATTGTACAGCAAGAACGGATGAAAAAATGTTTATAGCCCATCATAATATTCAATCGGAAAGTGAAGAGACACTGTCAACACCATACATAGGAGAGGTTAGTGAAGTTCCGAAAATAATGTGGGATCCGTTAAAGTTAACGCCATTAAATCACACAATTGAAATTGATAAATTAAAGAAAGAAATTAAAGAGCTTAAAGAAAACCATCCACAATTAAAGGATTTACATTTCCATCATATTTCCGGACATGCTGGTCTTATATTGTCATTAATAGTTTTGGGAATTTTTATAATATACCTTGTGAAAAAATGTTTTGTTAGGCAAAGATTACAAGCCATAACTTTCGCAGGCCCGTTGCAAGGAATTTAAAGTAAAATAGTTAAGTTAAAAAAAAAAAAATGTATTGAAAAATAATAAATTTACAGTCCACTAAACCGTTGTTTGCACAATTGTCAAAAATAATTGTAAAGCTTGCCGGGCCTTTGGCAGAATGTTCATCAGAACACGAAGTATTTTATTATTTAAGAAAGAATAAATCAAACCAATGTTAGAGTTAAGCTATAAGAGAATTACATGTCTAAGCTGAAAAATATATATGCACAAAAAGAGCAAGATTTGAGTTAAAAAAATAAAATTGAATAAATAATTACAGTCCACTAAATCGTTAAATCATAACTATTCATATATTAAAAATATATCATTCTTGCCGGCCTTTGGCAGTATGTTCAAACATGAACACGCATATATACAAATGTATATTTAGGTAGCGGAATTGTAGCCGCACCAAATGCATCACATGTGTGCATACCTAAAACAACGAGATAAAAAGGTTGTAAAATGACCCCCTGCGAGTGGTCACCACATGTTTAGGGATAAGTGCGATCGGAGTAATTGCTATCTCCTCTATCGCCCTTAAAGATAAGAATAGTTGTAAATCTCATGTTAGCTATTTAAGTAGAACATATTCTTAAATAAAATCAGTTTGAAATATCAACTCAACAAAGAAAGACGTGTTTATTCGGACGTTCTTTCAGTGGTTATTTAAAACATTTCGTTTACACAATTTGTTAGGTTTCGTAAACAAATCACGTACAACAACAATGCGCAGGCGCACCAGCGTCAGCGCAGCTTTTTTAAATTTCGCGCCGCGTCATACGTATGTACATATGTACATGTGTATATACATATGTACACACATATGCACTCAGAACAGACCGTGTATATACATACATATGTACATATGCTACATACATATGTACATATAAGGCTGCATTAAAAGCCCAAAGATGCCCGTTGCGTTCAGACGCCCCACTTTCTGACCGTTTATTTTAAAAAACACTGGTGGACACTTCGTAATAAAAAATATAGCGCAAAGTATTGAAAATCGCGCAATGACTTTCCCGATTTTCGCTTCACTGTGTCGGAAAGATTTTGGTTTTGAATATGATTATTATTATAATTACATAGAGTGTAACGTGGGTTGACCTGCATACTTATAAGTTTATAAACATACATATTTATCCATTTACTTCATTCTATGTATGTACATATGCTGTGTGGAGATACTCTTTTTATATGCAAGATGTAAGGGTATTTGAAGTGCGATACTGGTGTGGACTTTGAATTTGTGGTCTCTGTGTTCAATTTCGCATTCATTAGCACTCTCTTCGTCTCTCCGATGTCCGCATTCATTTTGCATGCATCGTTTTTTTGTTGTTTTTTTTTTTTTTTTGTTTGCCTGTCGACGATAATGTCTGCCGTTGGGTTTTATTTTTTTTTAATAAACACGCCAATGCAACAACAGAAAAGAGCAGCGCCGGCCCACAAGGGGAAAATGTCAAAATAAACTGAGAAAACAAGAGGAATAAAAATCGGAAGCTTTGCCAATGCCGGCCGGCTTTTTTAACCGACTGAGTCACTGCAGGTTTTTGAACTTGCTAAATCGATGCGCAGGCGCATTCGCAGTTCAATTTTTACCGCGCGCTTTTTCTTCGTTGTTGTTCGTTGTTGCCTTTTTAACTCCGCTTCCTTTTGCGCAATTTTCGCTTTGCTCGGTCTTGCTTCTTTTCGCCATTGTTGGCTCTACGATATTTTTTTACATTTTTGAAATATTTTATTCCCGTGGGGACGGAAAAAATATCGTGCGAGTATTTCAGTTTCTGTGATTTTATTATTTATTAAGAGAACATTTTTTTTGTGCAGATTGTTAAAAAAAACCAATTTTTTATAATAGACGCCTTTATTTTGGTATTTAAGATACAATTCTTTTGAGTATACTCGTATGTACATACATACATACATACATATGTACATATGTAACGACATTCAAAGAAACTCAATTATCATTGAAGTTGAAACTGTGATTGAACTACATATTTAACAAGTTAATAACGTTATCTGCGTTTTATCTTTTCAACATTTCGTAGCTTCGAGGTTCCCCGTGGGATGGAAATGACGACATGATTGTCCCCCTCACAATGTGGCTTTCCTTAAGTCCCAGCGCCGTAATCCGTATCTGGCAATTCTTTAAAATGCATAAGTTAATGCGCATCCACTGTGCTTGAGACTCTGTTCCGCGTATTTTTTTAGCAGTTTAACGGCGCCGTTTCATCTGCCATCGGGGGGCATGAGCTTCTCAGCGCCCCAAAGTAGACTAGGGTGCCCCGCGTCGGCGTGCAACCGCCCTTGAAGCGACTTCAGACCCTGCGAGGTTTCCAGTGCACAAAATATAGTCGATTACGACTGGTTCAAAGCACTTAGGTTGGGCAAGGCAAAGCTAAACTTCTAAACGAATATCGAATTTGAACCCAACCCAAAACAACCCTCTGCAATGAAATACTCTTTTTATACCCTTGCAGAGCAAAAGGGTATTATAATTTCAGTCAGAAGTTTGCAACGCAGTGAAGGAGACACCTCAGACCCCATAATGTATATATATTCTTGATCAGCATCACCATCTGAATCGAAATATGTATGTACGTCTGTCCGTCTGTCCGTCTGTCCGTCTGTCCGTCTGTCCGTCTGTCCGTCTGTCCGTCTGTCCGTTTCCGCGCAAACTAGTCTCTCAGTTTTAAAGCTATCTTGCTGAAACTTTCCCAAAAGGTGTGTAGTTATTGCACGCAGTATATAAGTAGGAACGTGCCGGATCGGCCGACTATATCGGATAGCTCCTATACGAGAGAATGAAATAAAAAATTTTCACGCCGTTGTTTTTGATCAGATCGACTTGAATTCTTCAAGATGGCGCTTTCTAAGTGTTATTGAATTTCGTATTAAATTTGAGCAAAATCGGATAACTCTATCATATAGCTGCCATAGGAGAGATCGAAAAATATATATAGAATTAATGGAAATAAATTGATAGCATCGTTTTTTTTTTATCCCACGAGCATGATTTTTTGAGTATCAAGTTTTTAAACTAGCCTTGATTTATAAAAAAAATTTCATCAAAATCGGACAACTATATCATATAGCTGCCATATGAACAATAGTCAAAAATATGGAAAACTAATAGAAAAGTCGTCGTAGCTTCGATGTTCTTTAGCCTTTGTGTATTCTGTTCGAAATATTTGATGACTGCAAGGGTATATAAGCTTCGGCTTGCCGAAGCTAGCTTCCTTTCTTGTTTAACGTAAGCCTCATATTTTTGGATGGCGACAATTTGAAATCTGGCACTGTATGCCTCTTTTTGGCTTTATGAGGGGCTCAGCACATTCGACCACGGTTCTTCCCCGCTGTCGTTGTAAAATTAAGCTCAAATGTTATCCCCAGTTGGATATCTGGTTGGTTGAGATCGTGATGGACACAAAGGGGAGATGATGATGATGGTGATGATGCTGATGATAAAGACACTTCATTTTTCGGTCGAGCGTGACAAAACAATTAATGTTTATTTTTGCATTTTAATTTGCCAACATTAATTGCAGTTTTATTGAGCTGGGCGGCCAACGAACGGCTGGCCTTGGATAAGGAGAGATATACCTCGGGGGTTGTCGTCACTTGGCCGAGAGCGCCAGAGTCATCAGGACGACGAACACGGAGTGGGCCAAGAGGGTGAAGTCGGCGCCCAGTCCCTCCCAATAATAGTCGAGGATGACGGATCCGTAGCGGGCTGCGAAGGCGACGGCCGCCAAGCCACCGCAGAGATTGCTGGATTGGTTGACTCCCAGGAAGAGCATGGAAACCACGTTGCCCAGCAGCGTCAGTTCCTTCAGCGTTTCCGTGGAGGCGTCCTCGTTTTCGCCCATCTTGGCCATCAGGTCGTAGACCAGGGGCACGATGAAGCAGCCGTGGGCGAAGGCCAGGCTTGGATTGGCGGACCGCAGGTAAAGCTCAATGTTGGCCAGGGGCAGCGGCACAATCTCCATGATTCCCGAGGTCACCATCCGAACTCGGTTGCACTCGTCGTCATCGTTCCCCGCCGCCCGCACTACCCCCAGGATTCCGTGGACCAGGCTCAAGGCCGCTGTCGCGTAGCCGTAGGGCGTTTCGAGGGGGTGGAGTGTGTACATCGCGTAGCCGGAGCTAACTGCCAGCAGGCTGTTGAACAGGGCGTCCATCAGCAGCATCTCTTGCTCAGGTCCTTGCCCCTTAACTGCTTTTTTTTTGGCGTAGTCGCCCTCTGACCTAACTGCCTCGTCTGCGGAAACAGCAAATTTGGAGTTGTCAACTCGATTTAGCCCCGTTTCAGTGGCACTTGTCTGACAAACGGGGCAGAGCTAGCCGGAGTTGAGAAAACGAGGCAATGCACCAAAATGCTACCTTTTAGACGCAATAGACACACAGTCGAGCTATGGTGCCGTCCATAGATCGTCCATGGTGTCCGTGTTGCAATGAAGCCATTAAAGCTTTTGGTCGGCGGCTCGCTGAGATGCCATGAACCTCGCCGGACAACTTGTTATCTGGCTGGGCACCGAGCCCGATGTATCCGTTGATTTATGGCATCAGGGGTGGGCAGCTTAATCCACTCGCATCCACCTGCTGGCGGCAGATGGCCCAAAGACCACAGACACAGACCGAAACCGGGAACCACAACTACAAGCCCGCTTTAATTATTAATTTAAATCGCACCGTTTATATGATAAAGACACTGGGACGTGCCGCTGAGCATTAGTGCATGTTGCAAGTAAAGTGGCAAGAAAAATAAAAGAACAGGAGCGGACTTGGAGCATTTACAACCCTAACCCAATCTTAGCAAAATTACAACTTAATAAAAACTAATATTTTATTATTATGAACTAAGTTCCAAAGTGGTTTTGTGCTGAGGCATAGGTGCAGTTTTAGCTATTACTTTCTATCAAACTCAACACCCTCTAAAAAATTTTTTACACTTTAATAGTAAATAGAGGACGTCCCTTTAAGGGCTGTCGGTCCTCCGAACCGCTCCTTAGCGGCTTTACTGTGTGGCGTGACAAAAGTTGTTGCTCGAATGCTTTCCTCTTTGCAGTCCCGCCCCAAACCCCGGCCCGCCCTGTTTTGGTCCCCTCGATCGCCGACCAGACAATATGACCAATACGAAGTACGTCTGCAAGCGAACTCTGCAAGCGTAAAAATATGAAAAGTGCCGCAAGTGCAACAAGTGAAATAAAAAAGCAAAAAACACAAGTGCAAGTGCAGGCAGCTCAGCTCAGACACTCAATTCATAAATAATCAGGCTCTTCCATCCACTTTCTGTGGCGAGCTCAACACTTCCCCTTGTTCACACTGTGGAAATTATGTGGTATTCCTTTAAAAATACCTAAGTGCCAAATAGGGAGTAAACACAGCGAAATACAAACAAACAGTGTAGCTAAGGTATGGCTACCCAAGCAGCGCTTTCTTTGTAGAACAGAGCCTCCAAATTGGTAGCAGTGTAGAGACAGCTCTCGACCCTCGACGGACTTCCCTGACTGTGCGCCAAGGTTGAGCGATCTAGAGCCAGCGGGGAAAAGACCAAACTACTCCAGACCAGACCAGAAACCGTCCAAAACCGACCATGCCGAGACCTGAGAGGCGCTCTGCAGCTGGGCTTAGGACTACTTTTGTCGTGCTTCTACTTGCCAAGCTCCAGTTTCCAAATTTTACTCCAAGACAAGCGACTGGCCATTGATTTATGGCCACCTCGACGCACCGGCTTATCAACGGCATTTCCATGCAGATCGCAACTAAGATTTCCGCCGAATTTAAAGATTCCCTTTTTTTAGTTATTATTTAATAAAAAGAAAATTATTTTAAACAATTTAGTTCTGATCGTTCATTACGAAATAGCAAACTGCAATTATAATACCACCAAAAGTATAAAAACGAAAACGTGTTTAATATGCGGTCTAAATATGCGGTCTAAATATGCGGTCTAAATATGCGGTTAAAATATGTTATTGCATTACTTTTAAAAATTTTTTGTTTCTGGTTTCGACTTATATACTGCGTGCAATAACTGCAAAACTTTTGGTTAAGTTTCAGAGAAATAGCTTAAAATGTATTATATTATACAAGTTTAAATAGAAACAAACAGACGGACCGATGCTAGATGATTCAGGCGATGGTGTTCTTCAAGAATATAAAAATTTAGTGGGGTCCTTTATTGCGTTTCAAACAGACTGAATGATGATACCTGAATTATGATTTAAAAAATCCTTATTATCTATATAATCCTTTTTTGCAAATAACTTTTGCAACTATCTGTCAGGGTTATAAAAAGTGAAAATTATATTTCTGTGGTTTAATTTTCCCTTTGTCGAAAAGTGAGTTGTGTAGGAACCCCGATAATAAGTGTATTTAAAGAAGAGGCGCCTTGGCCATACCGAACCGTGCAGCCCAAAAAAGTGCGTAAGCGATGCGAAAATATTTGGCCGGAGTCTCGTAAGTAAAATCAATGAAATGAGTTTGGGGCTCTCGAGCTGCTTGAAATGCGCGCCAGAAACTCTACGCACCTCATAAATTATTTAAAAGCTGCCCTGGCCAATTTTTCAGGGGCTTACCAGGCGATTCGATGGTTTGTGGTTGACGGAAGGGTACCAATTTTAATTACCGGCTACATGCCAGTAACAACACAGAAGCACACGCACTTTTGGAGGCCGATCGAATCAGAAATCCGAAGTCAGGCAGAAAAAAGCTAAGCAGAAATGTGCGAATTTTTGACAACTGCAAACTGAAGTCGAGGCATGTACAACATGGCTTTGTACACGATTGTCGCCCCATGTGATTTATGGCAAATGTGCGGGACAACGCTCAGATCTAAGCGATCCGTGATTCATTCAACATATAGATTGCCTCATTCGCCCGCTGTTAAAATTAGGTTTTGTAAAAAAAACTTTCCCGAAATGTCTTTACAAAACTTAAAACAGATCTTACGATTAGTTGAAGTTAAAGAAGCTACTGAAGTACACAATTATTACCCTTTACTTCTTTTATATCTTATCTATTATAACAAGAAAGGAAGCTAGCTTCGGCAAGCCGAAGCTGTTATACCCAGTCATTAAATATGCCGAACAAAATATTATACATAAATGCTAAACAGCCTCGAAGCTCTGACGATTTTTCTATAAATTTTCTATTTTTTCGACTATTGTTCAAATGACACCTATATGATGTAGTTGTCCGATTTTGATAAAATTTAATTCGTAATTCAAGAGTCAATAGAAAACTCTACATTCAAAAATCATGCTTGGCTGATGAAAAACAACGATGTTATAATTTTTTTCGGTTATTTCTATATAGATTTTTCTATTTTTCCTATGGCAGCTATATGATAACGTTGAATTTAATGAATTTTTGTCAATTTTCAGCAAACTCATTTTTTGTTCGGTTCAGATCGTTTTGCTGATCAAGAATATACGAGTTTATACTTTATGGGGTCTAAGCTGTCTTATTAACTACGTTGAAAGATTCTGAATGAAATTATAATACCCTCTGTAAGGTTATAATAATAGATTGTCAGGAATAATCCAAGCTACTCCCAAATATAATTCCTTGGTTATCTGGCCATTATTATATTTTTGCTCTAGCACATTTAATTTAAATAGTTGATAATGGACACTGGTTTCTCACCCGTCATGAGATACGGCATCTCCCTGGTCTTTCGGTATGGTGAACAATAAGACAGGTTTCGGTTGGATCCACTTGGCTTCAGAATATTTGCGCGATATACGAACGAGTATAGCGCTATGAAAATCCAGCTCTATCGGGTGCTTTATTTTCACGTTTAATTTGATTAATTTTGCTTTGTCGGCAGCTCCTGAACTGAACATATTAATGTTCGGATAATTCATGGCACTTTGCTGAGTCGGCATCCTCACTCAAGTGAGGCTGTCATATGACAGCCATCAATAAAATGTAGTTTAAGTTCGCCGGAGGTAAAGTTCCAGGAAGTCTTATTCTAATTCAAAGCGAAAATGCTGTGAAAACCAAGGTCAGCATCGTATTTCCACTTTAAACTGATTGGATGGAATGGATGGAAGTATCCACTTTAAATTTCTTTTCACATATAATCAGGATCCTACGATTCTTTGTTGGTTTTAAGGGGTAAGGCCACACTGAAGGCAAAAAAATTATTATGATTGCAATACCTTTAAAGTATAATATTTAGGTAAATGTTTTAATAAATAAAAAAGTTAGGTAATTAAGTAAAAACTTTACAAATTATGTTATTTAAATTACAAAGACTGCTTAAGTTCTAACGACTATATCTTTAACAAAACTACTGCTTTGCTAGCTTTAAAAAAAATCTAAACGATGAAAGCAAAAATTAGATTCTAGTCGCTATATAAAATTACGACATGGGCTGGTGACATAAATGCACATACATATGTATGTATGTACAGTCGACTCTCGTTAATTCGAAACTCGAGGGACTCTTGAAATATTTCGAATTATCGAGTGTTTGAAATATCAAATGGTTCGAAATTTGTTCTAGGGCTCATAGCTAACACTAACTTTTAATATGCATACCAACGAAAGAGTAACAGTAACTGAATAACTACACAAACCAATTCGTAAGAAGTGTGTGCGTCCAAAACTACATAATCAAAACAAAAACAAAGGCAAGTTTGAACTTGTCGCAAAATTTTTTTCTCTGCAACTTTGAATTGTCGAGTGTTAGACGCTGATGAGTTCGAATTAACGCGTGGTTTTGTTAAATATCAATGATTTTTTCGTTCGAATTACCAAGTGTATGAAAATGTATTGATTTAGTTCGAAATATAAAGAGATTTCGTAGGGACCTCGTGATAACTTTGAATTATAGAGAGGTTCGAATTATCGCAGGTTTGAATTAACGAGAGTCGACTGTATATTATATGTTGGGCCGCTTGTCTGCCAGGCAAATGTCCATGATGTGCGGGTCAGGCTTTTATTCGCTCTCTGCGACTGTGTGCAGTCGGGCTCCAAAGGGTGTCTCGACATGCACTAGACAGTAAAACAGTCGTTTTCATTATTTCTGCCCAAAAGAAGTCATTAAAAATTCACAGAATGTCAATGTAAAACGCTGATAATACGCAATTATGCATCTGACTTCGCATCCGCCAGATAAATAACACGGCTGAAGGAAGCTGGTGACAGTTGGCAACAATATAAAAAACGATGATGCCGCGGATGGATTTTTGGTGTAGGAACCTAAATTTGTGGCATCTTGGATGGCTAACTAAAGGCGACCACATTTTAAAACAAAATATCGTCGGCATTTACGGAATAAATGTTTTAACTTTTGAGGAGTATTTGGATTGTAAGTAAGACCAGGAAAACGTGAAAGTAAGAGAATATTTTACATAAAAATATATTTAAAATGTAAAATCATGTTTTTTGTTTTTTTAATAATAGTTCCCAACTCATACGAGTAGCAAGTAAATAAAATATTGCGCCCAAATATATTTGCTCACACGTTGCCGCCGGCTTCGGTATGATGTAAACAAAAGCCTCCCGCCACCCATCAACCACCCATCGCCGCACCACCCACGACAGCCACTGCCACTGGCATGTGCGATTAAAAATTTTTACGCAGTTTCCGACCAGCAACATTGTAAGCTAAAATATTTAAAATAGTTTGCCTCCGCAATCGTTCAGCTGTGGGGCGAATTGTGCTTGTTTATTTCATCTAGTGCATGAAAAGGTTACACGTGCGAGACCTATGCCAGGAAAAAAAATAAAATAACTTTTTACAAAGCGGAGCAGCGGTCGGATTCGCATTTGCGTGCAGCTTGCATTTAATGGAGGAATGGATAAACATAAAGAATATGCTAGCCTCCTAGATCAAAACTCCAGGCACTGTGGTTAGTCAAATTATCGGTCTTTTATTTTTACTACGGATATGATGAAAA